CACCGAAGGTCCCAACGGCAGGGTTCGCATGGCGGCCTCGGGCCAGTTCGGCGCACCCTCGCGAGGATCGTGGCCCCAGTGGAGCTCCCCAGCACAAGTGGCAGGGTTCGCACGGCGGCCTCGGGCCAGTTCGGCGCACCCCTCATGGAGACCGTGGCCCCAGAGGGAGCACCACCGAAGCTGGCCAAGAGGATTGCACGACAGTGAAATATGCAGGGGGTGGGCTTAAGTTGCTTCCTGAACTTAGATGCAAGATTTGCATCCTGGGTCTGGGGGCGCTTGGAGCCCTCGGACGCAATTGAGCCCCCCCTGAGATTATGCACTATCCGAGCCCTTTTGGGCATCTTTCGGTGCCCTCCTGCTGCTAGGGCGCTCCAACGAAGGCTCCAGCGGCAGGGTTCGCATGGCGGCCCCGGGCCAGTTCGGCACGCCCTCACGAGGATCGCACGGAGCTCCTGACCCAGTGGCAGGGTTCGCATGGCGGCCTCGGGCCAGTTCGGCACACCCCTCACGGGGATGGTGGCCCAATAAGAGCTTCACCGAAGGCCCCCGTGGCAAGGTTCACATAGCGGCGTCGGACCAGTGCGGCACGCCGCTCGCGAGGATCGTGGCCCCAGGGGGGCTCCTCCGAAGGCGCCAGTGGCAGGGTTCGCATGGCGGCCTCGGACAAGTTCGGCGCACCCCTCACGAGGATCGATGCCCCACAGGGAGCTCCACCGAAGGCGCCAGTGGCAGGGTTCGCATGGCGGCCTCTGGCCAGTTCGGTACACCCCCCACTAGGATCGTGGCCCGATTGGAGCTTCACCGAAATGCTCCAGTGGCAGGGTTCGCATGGCGGCCTCGGGCCAATTCGGCACGCCCCTCGCGCGGATCGCGGCCTAATCTGGAGCTCCACCGAAGTTCCCAGGGTTCGCATGGCGGCCTCTGGTCAGTGCGGCACTCTCCTCTCGAGGATCGTGGCCCCATAAGGGTTTCACCCGAAGACGATGTTCGCAGTTGCGGCATTCACTTCTGCGTATGGTTGGGTTCTTCGTCAGTTTGTTAAGAGCTCGCCCATGCGCGGGTGGCATAAGCATTAGCGGGAGGGCGTGGTCGCCCATTTGCGTGTTGCCATTCCTTGAGGATTGGCCGCGTCGGTCGCCGCCTGTCGGCAGGGCCGCGGCGGCCAGGGCGGCTCCTGCTGGCGCCTCCGACGCGGCCCCTGGTCTCGGCGCTGGTCGGCGGCAGGACGGCGACGAGGGCGGCGGCCAGAAGGACAAGGACGGCTCGTTGAAGCAGAAGGCTGCCTTGAAAAAGAGGCTCGCTGCAGTGCATTCGGAGGTCTTCGGCAAGGACGGGTACCACACGAAGATGATCAATATGTACTCCCAGTGCGACGACGGCTCTGGCACGCTCGAGAGCGACGAGGACATTGAGATTGAGGCGTTCAGGAAAGACTTCAAAGCTTTGGGCGACAAGATGAAGAAGAGCCAGGTTGACATCGAGAAGGCCAAGCCTGACAGTTTCACGAAGTGGGGTCAGGGCATCACTGCTTACGATGCCGAGTACAAGGCCCTGATCAGCACGTACAGTAAGATGGAGTCCTGTCTGAACTTCTTCACGCAGGAGAGGGTTTCGTCTGCTCGCAGCGCCAAGTTGAAGATTCGCCACTTCAGGGACCGCTTGGTGACCAGCATGAAGGACAAGGGGTTCAACCCTCAGCTCGCGAAGATCTTGGTTGAGAGGGCTTGCCAGCTCAACGAGGTGTTCGTGCAGACGGTGTCGCTCGTGCAGACCGCCGACATGGCGGCCAAGGAGGCAAGCGAGCTGCAGAAGAAGGCTGACGGGAGCGTCGGCGCAGGTGGCTCGTCTGACGTCGCTGCCACGGTGCCCGATTCAAAGCCGAAGATTGTGAGGATGCCGATTCCAGAGTTCGACGCCGAGGGCGGCGCCGTGGTCATCGAGCGCGCCGTGACGGAGTTAAGCGCCATTGACGCCCTGAGGATCAACGATAAGGTGCTGCTCATCGACGAGGAGGGCCACGACTTGTTCGCGCAGGCCTTGGACGACGACGACGACCACGACGGGGACGGGGCAGCGACTCCTCCTACTGCCCATCCTCCTCCACTTCCTCACCCTCCCCACCTCTCCTTCCTCCTCCTTCTCCTCTTCTCTCCCCCCTCCTCCTCCTTCCCCCGCGTGCGGCGGCGATGTCGACGCCGACGCGTCTGGAGGCCATCGCCTGCCAGACAGCGGCCCCCGACAAGCTTGAGAAGAAGACTGCCCGCGCCGAGGCGAGGTTGCAGGATAACGCTACTTGGGTCGGCCTTTCAGGGAAGCTCGCACCGCCTCCTAAGGAGCACGACTCAGAGCTGCTCCAAGATGACATCCTACAGAATCCAGCGTGCTCGGCGTGGCTCCTCTCTGTGATGAAGTTCGCGTGGGGCTGGGGGCCCACGGGGGTTCCGCTTGCTGGCATGGAGTGCCTGCTGCAGTCCCTGAGCTCCAACGCGTTGGTGACATTCTTACCGATTGCGTCCTTGCTCGAGTCTGGCATCGTCTTGGAGAACGTGAAGGCGTTCATGGAGACAGGGTCTGGCCAGGCTTGGGTCAAGGGCAAGACTACGACGATGCTCTTGGTGAAGGGCGCCATCGTGCGCATCCCCGCTGGCATCTTCCCGTTGGTTCACTACGTGGCAGTGGACGCCCCGGAGACGGCTCAGGGCGAGGGCGAGAGCGCCAACCAGAAGGACGAGGTGGTGGCACTGCACGCGTGGCATTTGCCGCTCTGGCGCGCTGAGGCGATGAAGTCGCTGCCACCCGCGGTGAGCCGCGCGATCCACTCGCACGGCCAGAAATTGTTGGAGGAGCAGTCTTCGTCGAAAGCCTGGGCGGAGCGCGCCAAATTCCATGACAAGTGGTTCAAGGACAACGTCTTCAGCGGTTGACCGACCGCGTGATGTTTCGAAGATGCGTTCAGCATCTGCGTTGATGACGCCGCCATTTTGGCGGCACGGCGGGTCATCAGACCAAGTTTTTTTTACTCAGTGAGGGCGGCGAGCCCCATGAGCTTAAGTTGTGTTCTCTGGTTGCGCGCCCTGCCTGGAAGCCCAGCCCGGCCTCTGTCGAAGCCGCTCGTTGGCGACCGTTGCGTGTGAAGCAAGATCCGAGGGGAGGGGTAGCCGCGGGGACTCGGGGCTTAAGGCGAGCCCCATCTGAACTCAACGCGTGGTGGCCCTGAGGCCTCATTGGCCCGCCGTAAGAGATCCATGGGGCGCCTAGCGCCCGCCTCATCTGGCGAGGGGGAGGGGGAGGAGGAGCAGGAGGAGGACGAGAGGATGATGATACGGATGGTGAGAGAGGGGGAGCAAAATGAAGATGATGATAAGGAAGAGGGGAGCGTCAAGGAGGATGGGGGTCTATCTTACACCGTTGATATGCTGGTCGAACGTTGTCTTATGGCAAACGGCATAGTGCATGTGTGAACGGCTGCGCCCTCCGTCGCATGCACCCCCTCTTCCGCGCGCCTGTCACCCTAGAGGGCCTGGCCGCGTACGTACGGCGTTGCGTGCAACGTTATACTGTGGGGCGCTTGAGGTCCTGAGGGGCCGATTCGGGCTCTGGCCACGCGCGGCGCGTACGTGCCTTGGGCATGGCGGCTGCCAGTCGGTCGTGGGAACTTGGGTTCACTCTGGGGATCCTTTGTTGGGAGTCTTGAGGCCTACTCGGCGCGAGTGAGTTCTGTGAGTTCTGGGGCGCCCGCCAATGCAATCACGGGCGATGTGTTGGGTTTCTTAGGGTGGGTTCTTGGAGCATCCGCGTGCCCATCAAACCAGGGTCATACATGTTGGACGCACATCCTAACACACAAGACCATCATTCGGCTGAGTCTCGGAAGTCCCTCTTCATCTCTGCGTCGTCTCCCACTGGTATCCCCCCGAGCGGTCCCTGCCCTTGCCCCCTCGTCGCAGCGTCACCTTCTCCCATGCCCGTAATGCCTCCACGCCCCTCCGGACTCTCCAGATAGGTTTCCCAAATCAGGATGTCATCCCTCCTGTCCCCCTCTCCGCCTCCTCCGTTGCCCTTTTGGCTCAAACAAGCGATGCGTCGCACTGTCCGCATTCGCGGCTTATGCGTGACGCGATGCGCATCTGTGCGCCTTAGTTGGGGATAAGCCCCACGAAGCTGGGCAGTTGTACCGCGGCGTGCTTACGGTCGTCGCGCCAGCCCACGCATCGGGCGTTGCCTGATGATCGTGATGCGCCTGAGCGGGTTGACATCGAAGAGAGTTTCGGTCGTCTTCCGCGCGCATGCTCACGCTAGTGAGCTGGAAACGTCTAAGTATCGTTCATGACGATATTTTCAAAATCGCGCTCGCGAGCGCCTGAGTAGAACTGTAAGAGGGCAGCTCCCTGGGACTAGAACCAGCGCCGCGCCACCTCGCCCAGACCAGACCGCGACTAGAACGGCCACTAGAACCACTAGGTTAGGGGCAACGTTTTCCTAAATCCCACCAAACCCATGTCTTACCAACGCCGCCGCCCTGCTGCAGCCAGAGCTCAACTCGCGCATCGACGAGCTCGACGGGGCGCCACTGCCCGACTACCAGCCCCCACGGGCCAGCTTGCGGGCCGCACGCTGCACGCGCGCTGACGCGGTCCCATGGCTGCTCGCGCCGCCCGCAGCCGCCCCTGTTGCGGGAGGAGCACGCCGCCCGCGGCCCGCGCACCCGCTCACGCCAGCGCAGCACATCGCCGCGGCCTGGGACGCGTCCACGTCGCAGCCCACTCAAGCCAACCCGTTGGATTCGCCCAGCCAAGTCCCGAGCGGGGCACACAGCGCGCTGCAGTGGATGAAGCGATGAAGCATTGCCCGGACCTCGAGCACTGGGCCACGGCGCAGGTCAGGCGCTGGGCCGCGCGCGCACACCAGCTGGCCCCAGCAGTCGCGCACTGGAGGTCAACCCTCGCCCCTGAGGTCCGGGCAGTCTTGCCCCCAGACTAAAACGGCCCGCTTCACAGGGAGTTGCTGGAAGCGTCCGGGCGCGCAGACCTGGCCGTGTGCGACGACGTCGAGCGCGGCTTCCCGATGGCGGGGCTCATGCCCGACTCCATGCTCTTCGCCGGCGCAGACGCTGGACAGCTGCCTAGCCGTCGGGACATCGCAGACGCATTGCATCATGCGCTCCAGCGCAGGGACCTTGCGCTGAAGGAGCTCCTGAGCAGACCGCGCCGGGAACCCGGCGCGCAGGACATCCTACGCCAGACGCAGGAAGACGTTGCGGCCGGGAAAATGGAGGGCCCGTGGGAGGTGTACCTCGGCCGCGATGGCGAAGTCGCGAGCACGGTACCGTTCGCGGAATGGTTGCCGACGCAGCGGTTCCCCAGGGTGCAACGCCGCGCGGCGACCAGCTACGGTGTGCGGCCAATCGACAATTGCACCGCGAGCGGCCTCAACCCCGCGGCCGCGGCCATCGAGGCCATGCGGGTCACGGGCCTCTCCGCGCTCATGGCCGCCATCGAGCACGTGGCTGAACTCTTTCAGGATTGGGGCAGCGACGGCGAACCGCTCCTCGCGAAGGGGGACCACAAGAAGGCGTACCGCCAGTGGCCCGTACGGCCCGACGAGCGCAAGTACGTGGTCACGCTGATCTGGAGCGACGACGTGGGCACCGAGGGCGGTTTCCTTGCCTTCGCCCACATGGCCCTGCCTTTCGGCGCCTTTGGCGCCGTCTGGGGATGCGCGCGCGCGTGGGCGGAAGCGTGTGTCACGTACTGCAGCGAGTGTTCGCGGTCCCTCAGATGGCGTACGTCGATGATTTCTTCCGCTCTTCACCGCGCCGATTCGCCGCGCTGCAGCAGTGGATCTTCGGCCAACTGCACGCCCTGCTCGGCATCCCGCTCGGGGCCGAGAAGGGGCAGGCCCCCGCGCAACGGCTCGAGATATTGGGACTGGAAGCAGCCGCAACGACACAGTGGTCTGGGCTCCGCCTTATCGAGAAGCGGCGTTCCCAGCTCCTGCAAGCCGTGGAAGAAGCACTCCGCCTCGCACGCCTGCCCGCCAGGGACGCGTCCCGCCTCGGGGAGCAGCTGGGATTCGGAAGCACCGCGCTCCTCGGCCGCGTTGGCCGCGCGTGCACCCGGGTCATCAGCTCCCGCGGAGGCGGCTGGACCGCTGGGCCGAGGAACTCGGGTACGGCCTCCGCTGGCGGCGCGCGCTCTTGACCATGCCGCTGCACCATTACCAGGGCCATGATTGCACACGGCGGCGCGCGGTCGCCTGGGTAGACGGCTCTTGGGAGATGGCCACCGGCGAGGGCGCACTCGGCGCCGTGCTCCTGACCGCCGAAGGGGGCTGCAGCCTGTCAGCAGAGGTGCTCGACAACCTGAGACAGGAGCTGCGCAGGACCGGCAAGCGACAGCGCAATGCCCAATCAGAGCTACTGGCCGTCCTCATGTTGTTGCTGTCTTGCTCCGAGCAGCTTCGAGGCCGCAGCTTAGTCCTGTGCGAGGACAACCAAGCCGCGCTCGAGAACATCCTGGCTGGGTCCGCCGCGGATCCCGACAGCCGATCCCTCGTCGCGGGGATATGGCTGCTGGCGGCAGTCTTGTGAATAAGCATCTGGATCGAGTACGTGCCCAGCGAGTCCAACCCCGCCGACTGCTCCTCCAGCCCCGGAGAGGAGGCAAAGGCGGACGAGATGCAGCAGCTCTCCGAGATGCACGCCCTGGTCGCGATGCCACTGCGACTGCCATCCTCCTTGCAGACCGACCCCGAGACGTGGGCCGCGGCCGCGGCGGCCGCCCGCGCCCCCCAGCGGATGACCGCGCGCGCCGAGCACGCAAAAGCAGCCGCCCGCCTCGGTGCCACCGACGGCCCCACCGTCGCCAGCCTGATGGGCCGGGCCACCTGGGACGCGCTCGACGGCAACGTCGCGCTGGGCTGGTTGCAGCTACCGCGCAAGGGCATCGCGGCGCAGGCCACGCACTACCACGACGGGTTGGCACAAGTACTCTGCATGGCGTTCAAGCAGGTCTACCCTGGGCACACGTGCACGACCGTCGTGATGCGCCAGGGCCAGCTCCCCCAGTGGCCGCGAGTCGCCGCCGAGTGCATCGCCTGCCTTCGCGCCTGGGTCAACGCGCCCCAACCGGACTTCGAGTGGGTCAACGGCTACGCGGAGCCCACCGACGTGGACTCCACCGACGTCGTCGCGGGCTTCTTCCGCATCCCCGTCGATGGGGCGCGGGCCTTGCAGGACAGCGCCGGGCTGGCGCGCCGGGGCTTCCCGCTGTGCGCGGCGCCGCAGGCGTCGCGGCGCGCTGGCGCCCCCGCCGCCGGCAGCGCAGAGGTCTTGGCAGAGGAAAGCAAAATCTGTAAGCGTCGACAAGATAGGATTCGCGCGACACTGGCCGCGACGACAGCGGGGCGGCTCCGGCCCCTGGCATCGACGCAGCAACAACCTGGGGCCTTGCCCTGGGCCGAGGCGCTGGCGCCGCCCTGCCATCGCGCGCGCTGGCGCCCCTGGAATCTACGTGACATGCACGGGGCCGCTGCCGCCAATGCGCGGGTTGGTGGCCCCTCGTGGCAGCTAAAGGGCTAGCTCCCGGGACTGCGCCCACGTCGGCTCGTGCGTTCCCGTGGGCGGCGCAGCGCGCACTTGGCACGTGGCCACGACCGCATGGACCCGGACCTGGCCGACGCGCCCCGGGTCGCATGGGCCAAGGAACCGAGGCGCATTGCGTGCCCGCGGGAGCGGGGCCAGGTGCTTCTGGGGTCCCGGGGCGCGGGGGAAAAAAAACGAAGGCCTCCCGGAACGGGCCGACCAGTGTGCGGCGGCGGGCGCGGTCTCTCGGATGTGGCCAAGGGGCACCCGGGATTGCCCCCTTGGCCTGGGCGCGTCTTTTCGCCGCTCCCCGGGACGCCCCCTCCCCCGCTTGAAGAATTAAGGGCAGGAAAATTAAGGGGGCGTCGTCTGGGCCGAGCACACAACTGGTGGGGGGCAGGCCCGGCAACGCGACTTGTGGGGCGGACCGGGCGTTCCCCTCGCCGTTCCCACTGTGGTCGGCTGGACTGCGCCACCACCACCCCTCGCTCTGGCAGTCCTACAACCATCCCCCCCCCCACCATCGTCCTCCGTCATCGTCGCCCCCCCCCCCCCCCCTTCGCTGGGACAGACCCAGAGCCAACGCCCTGGTGCCTTTCCGGGGCCGCCGTGCGCGGCGGCTGGTTATGGGCTGCTGCGCGCCCCGCTTGTGCGGGCGCAGCTGGGCCCGTAACCACCCCGTGCTCGGTGGTTTCGGGGGTGGGGCGCCAGGGGTCGCGGGCGCGGGTGTCTCCTGGCGGGGAGGGGGGGCAGGTGAGCGCCCGCGGCCCCCCCCTTCCCTCGGTGCGGGAGGCAAGGAGGGGGGTCGGACGGACGGGGTGTGGGAAGGGTGGGGGGGCTGCGTAACAATGCGAGCGCGCTCGCGGAGATAGCTCAGGGGGCGCGCCTCGTGGGGGGTTCCCCCCTCCACCCTCTCGCGGTCGTGCTCTGTCGGATGTATGTATTTATGTCTGTCTGTCTGTTTGTCTGTCTGTCTGTCTGTCTGTCTGTCTGTCTGTCTGTATGTATGTATGTATGTATGTATGTATGTATGTAGATATTTAGGTTTTCTCGTGTAAAAGCGATGTCCAGTGTTTTGATGGGGGCAATGTTTAAACATCTTCTTATATTTTTCATCTTTCGTTCCAAATCCGCCTGTAGGAGGACACGCCCGACCTGGCCCCAGGCTCGCCGAGGCGATGGGCGCGGCCGGCGGCGAGGCCGGCCAGGGCCCTCGAGACCCAGACTCAGGGGAGCGAGCAATGGCGTAAACATAATAATAATAATAATAATAATAACTCGGAGGTCCGCGCGGAGTTCCTGGATCCGCGCTGGACCCCCCCTCCCTGGCGCGCGTAGGCGCGGATCCGAGAAATCCGCGCGGGCCTCCGAGTTTTTATGCTTATGCCATTGTCCGCTCCCCGAAGATCCCCTCGAGGAGTGGAAAGCTCGCGACGGGAGGTTTCTCCCCATGTTTTTGGCCTCCAGGGGAGGCCCCTTCCCGGTCGAATGTTGCTAGAAGTACCCCTGGCCCAAGGTGCCCCGAAGATTCTCGGGGTGGCCCAGACCGCCTCCAGGGCGCCCCTCACGAGGCCCCGAGGGCCCCAGGGCTTCCAAAATGGAGCGACAAGCTGGGGCCTCCTTGGGCCAGGGGCATGTCTAGCAGCACCCGACCCGGGCCCGGGGGGGCCGTCAAAGAACGACTCGGGACGGAGAGCCGGTCCCGGGTCCAGACCTCTTCAGCCACGCGCAGAGGGGGGTGGGGGGAGGGGGTTAGGCTTCTTAGAAGCACCCCTGCTTCTTAGAAGTCGCGGGCTTTGTCTATAGATGCAAGGCCGGCGCCTTTCAGAAGCAGCTTCCTTCTAAGAAGCCCTCCCTCCTCCCTCTACCCCCTTGTGCGCACCGCCAAGGAGGGGTCCAGACCTCTGAGGGCCGACGTAATGAAACAAATATAACGTCGGGGGTCTGGGGACGGAGGTCAATCAAACGGTCGCTTGTCACGAAATGTGCCCCCGGCCCAAGGTGCCCCCAGCTTTTCGCTGAAGTTTTCAAGTTTGGAGCCCCGGGGGCCCCCTGGGCCTCGTGAGGGGTGCTCCCTGAGGCCTCAGGGGGCTCCTCTTTAAATCCTGGGGGCACCGTGGGCCAGGGGCACTTCTAGCAACACCCGGAACGAGAGTCAATGCAATTGAAGAAAAACAAAAAGCCATAACCATAAAATTGTGGCAATACGGTCGGATTTCTTTGATCCGCGCCTGGACCCCCCAGCGGCGCCTCCGGAGCCGCCCCTGTCGTGCTCCGCGCGCCTGGGAGGGGGGTCCGCCGCAGATCCAAGAACTCCTTTTCCTTCTTTTATGCAGACGGGGGTCAGTCAGAGCGCCAGATCTTGCAGGATCCTGCAGGGCCAGGGTCGCATTGACCCTGGCTTGGGTGTAGGACCCTGCGGGATCCTTCAGGATCTTGCAGGATCCTGCCAAGCCTGGCTGACTGGGGTTTGGATTGGCCTGGGTCAGTAGATGTAAGTTGGGCATCTCCCTCTATAGTAGGAATGTTCAAAAATAGTAAAAAATAGTCGTGGGACAATTTTTCGAATGTTTTCGAATACTTTTTTGGTGCTTTTTCACACTATTGCGAAGGCCTTACGGCCGGTGCCGCCGACCCTGAGAACGACGAAGTTGAAAACGAGGGTGGGGGCAGGGGGGTGAGGATGAGTGGGAGGTGGAGTAAGGGTGGAGGTGGATGAGGGAGGAGGAGGGGGGAGAAGGATGTGGAGGAGAAGCAAGAGGAGGAGAAGGAGGCAGAGAAGAGCAGGAGAAGGGGGAACAGACGGGGGAGGGAGGAGGAGGAGGAGGAGGAAGAGGAGGAGGCCAGAGGCTTTCTTAGGACAGCCTGGGGCTCTCTTGAGGCCGTCTTGGGCCGTTCAGGGCTCCTCTTGCGCCGTCTCGAGGCACTCTTGGAGGCCTCCTGGGCAATTTGGGGCTCTCCTGGGCTGTCTTCGGGCAGGTTGGGGGCCCCTTGGGAGCCTCTTGGGGCCTCTTGGGGCCTTTTCGGGGCCTCTTGGGGGCCTCTTGGGGCTGAGAGCTCGGAATGTCCGTTCGGGTCCCCCGTCTGGGTACTCTCCTGGAGCCGTCTTGGGGGCCTCTTGGGCCGTCTTGGAGGCGTCTTGGGCCGTCTTGGGGCCCTCCTCGGCCGTTATGGGGACCCTCTTGGGGGCCTCTTGGGCCGTCTCGGGGCGATCTTGGGGGCCTCTTGGGCCGTCTTGGCGCGTCGGGAAGTGGAAGAGGCGAGAACGCCAGAACGCGAGTCGGGAAATCCATGAATGTTGCCTCTTGGGGCTCCCGTGGGAAAGCTCCTGGAGGCTTCTTGGGGCGCTTTGCAGCCCTCTTGGGCCGTCTGGAGACCGTCAAGACGTCTTGGACAGATCGTTCGGCGATTCGGGATTCTCTTGGACTGTCTTTGGGGCCTCTTGGGGCACTCTGGGCCCGTCTTGGGGCTTTTTTGGGCTCCGGGACTCCCAGGGGGGGCGTCGTATTCGACCCCCCCCGGGATCCCCCCCCCCCGGCGGGCGAGAGATCGAAAGGAAGGGGCTTCCCTTCGACTCAATTACGACGTTGCTCAACTTCGCTTTGGCTGGCGCGCTGAGGAGGTCCCTGGGAAAGGGGGGAGCTTCGACGAGCCCAGGGAAAGGGGGGAGGCAGGAAAAGGGGACGACAGAGACGACGACCAACGAATGACGGATATGACAACTTGAACGGACAAGCCCCTCACACACGCCGACAGGGTCGGCGGATTTGGAGTTTTTGTCCAAAATCCCCTTGTAGGGAGGACATGCCCGACCTAACAGTAGATCCCTGAGGCCAGCGAGGGGGCTGGCGCCCGCGAGGCCGTGCTCGACGTCGAGAGCCTCCCTGGCTACGCGCTGGAGCTCCGTGGAGGAAAAAGGGGGTGTGCGGTCGGACTCCGGGGTAGAAGCTCAAGGCCGCTTCGGGGAGGGTGCCCCTGATGTTCCTCGTGCTTGTTGGATGCTCCTCTGCATCCTGGGGGGAGGGGGGGACCCTCGGTCAAGGGCATTAAACACGCCCCTGCCCTGGTTTACCAGGCGCTGTGCGCTGAACCTCCTGTGGGCTGACAGGGTAAGCCCTGCATCTCGCGCGTGTCGCGCGGCGTCCTGGCGGCTCTCTGGCCTTCGGGAGCTCCCAGGAGGTTTATGGTCCACGCACCTGTAACCCAGGGTAGGGGCGTTTCTGCATCCCTCAACTCGGTGATCTTACGGTTTGGGGTGCTTTGGCCAGCGGAGGGTTTCATGTTCTTGATGACTTTTTCACAACGTCGACCCCCGGAGATCTGGACCCCTTCCCAGGGACGGTCTCATCATCCCGAGCCGGTCTTCGACAGTCCCGAGGCCCGATGAGGGCCCTCCCCAACGGCCGAAAATATGGAATTGGCCTAGCGTGGGAGGCCCAGAGATTGGCACCAACACCAACACAGGGGGTTGCCTCCACCGGGAGAAGATGATCCTCGATTTCGGTGTTGGTGGTAATATTTCGGTCACTTTGGGAGCCAGAATATTACCACCATCACCGAGATCGGGATCCTCTTCCCTCGGTGGAGGAACACCGCCGTCATTGGGTGGGGAGGGCGCATGCGGACGCGGCCACTGGGGCCTTCGGTGGAGCTCCCTATGGGGCCACGAGCCGTGTGAGGGGCGTGCCGAAATGGGCATGCGGTGGGCGGGGAGGGCGCATGCGGACGCGGCCACTGGGGCCTTCGGTGGAGCTCCCTATGGGGCCACGAACCCTGTGAAGGGTGTGCCGAAATGGGCGGGGAGGGCGCATGCTGGACGCGGCCACTGGGGCCTTCGGTGGAGCTCCCTACGGGGCCATGAACCGTGTGAGGGGGGTGCCAGAATGGACATGTGGTGGGCGGGGAGGGCGCATGCTGGACGCGGCCACTGGGACCTTCGGTGGAGCTCCCTACGGGGCCACGAGCCGTGTGAGGGGTGTGCCGAAATGCAGATGCGGAGGGCACAGGCAAGGGGGGGGAAGAGGGAGGAGTGGGAGGAGGGGCAGGAGGAAGGAACGCGGGGACCGTCTCTCCACAACGAGGACCCAACACCACAGGATGATTGGGAAACACCTCCCGTCGTGTTTTTGTTCCCAGCGCGAGGGGGTCTGGGGAAGGATGTTCTTCTGTCATAGGTCCGACCGTACAGTCAGCCCGCATCGGAAGGATGGGTAACCTTCCCAAGGCTCCTCTTGCGTCCTTCCGGGGAAGCGTAAGACTCGAGTGCGCCAGAATCCGGGTTTGCCGACGCTTTTTGACGACTGCGGCCTGGATTTCGACGGTGCAGTTTTCGTGGGATGTTTGCAGCGGGAGCTCGCGTCACATTTCATACTAGGTCTCGTCATTTTCATGATTCAGAAGCCTGGCGAAGGCTGGCAAATCCGTAGCTGCCAGAACGGAGCTCTGGGAAATTTGTTATTTCTTCCAGGAAGCAGCCCGTTTACCATTTAGTGCGCTTAGGTTTATTCCGGGATTTTTTTTCCCTTCCGGGAAGACCGTTTTAGCAGCCACGGATTTGCCAGCCCTCGCCCAGCTTCCAAAGGGTTGGCCCCGTCAGGCCCACCCGAGTCCCCGGCACCCGAGTCTTGGCGTCTCCCCGATTTGCTCCCCCCCTCGGGCCCATCCTCGGGCCGCTCTCGCTGGCCGCTCTCCGCATCCTTGGCGACTCTCGCGACGAGGACGACGACGACGAGCACCGAGACCACGACCACGACCACGACGACGACGACGACCACGACCACGACGACGACGACGACCACGACCACGACCACGACGACGACCACGACGACCACGACGACGACGACGACGACGACGACCACGACCACGACCACGACGACGACGACCACGACGACAACGACGACGACGACCACGACGACGACGACGACGACGACGACGACGACCACGACCACGACGACGACCACGACGACGACGACGACGACGACGAGGCAAACGGAACAGCGCATTCCACACGCCGACAGAGTCGGTGGATCTCCTTCCCAAACGGCGAACCTCGCTCGAGAAACGTCAACATGGCCCTCCAAGGCCCATGCATCCTTGCCTCAGGAGGGGAAAACACACACAGACACAATTGATCGTCGACCCCCAGGAATATATGGGACAATCTGGGAAGCGGGGGGGAAGACGAGAACCCACAAAGTAGGGGAAAAGAGGGGACAGCATGGGGAATCCTGGGACCTGTGTGTCTTTAATTTACGTGTCCGAGGGCCCGCTTCATTAACGCGCATCCTCCCTTGCGTGTCGCTCGGCGGCGGCCCCGCCGCCGGCGTTCCACGTGGAGCGCCCCGCGGCGACCCGGAACCGGTCGATGTGGAACGCTCTGACGTGCCAGGAGCGGCCGACTGTTCGAGAGGGAGCGATCCCCGCGGCGCCGGGGGCCAGACCAGGGTCGGGGTCGGCAGGGCACGAACCTGTCGGATCGCATACGGGTTGGCTGCACGTCCCGCGTCTCTCGACAGGCGCTGGGGGCGCCGCCCTCCCCGGCAGCCCCAGAGAGCGACCCCCCCATCCCGTCGCAGGCAACCGCACCGCGCGCCGCAGGCGCGTCGCGGCCCCCGTGGCGGCGCGCCGCGGCGTGGCGGGGCCACGGTGGAAACCCGCGCCACGAGGCACCCTGCTGCTCCTTGGCGGCCCCGGGGGTCCCAGAGGCGGAGTTCCCGGCCACTTGCAGATCTGGTGCTCGCGCTGTCAGTGCTCTGCTCTCCTGGGACTCTGCGCAGCGTCGTCCGCACCCTGCCTTCTGCATGCCCGAGCTCCGTGGCTGCCTGCACGCCCTCCTGTGCTCAGCTGCGTTCTGGAGGAGCATGAGGTATTGATATTGATAGTTTTCAAGATTCCCAGGTTTTCCCGTTCTTCCGCGCGGACTACAGGGACGAATGGTCGAGCGCATTCCGTCGCGCAGGTTTTTTGCGCGATGTGCGCGGTGCATTTTTCGCGCACCGGCGCGCCCTCGGAGATGCCAAGCTGTATGCTGTGTTGCCCTTGGGGAGTCCGCGAGTCGCAGCTGCCGTGGCGCTTTTTTCGAGGTGACCCCTTCGAGTGCTGTTCGCGGGCGCAACGCGCGGCGCGCGCTGCGCCCAATCGCGCGCGGCGCGGTGCGTGAATCAGCCGGCCGCGCCCGTCGGACCGCCCGGAAATTTTTCTGGATTGTAGAATGTTTCAGAAAACGTCTCCGTTTTTCTGGCGCAAGCGGCTTTCAAAAAGGAGCCCGGGACTTTTGAAAAAACAGTTTTGAGGGGTGGAATGCGCCCGCCGCGCAGGACATCTGAACAATTCTGAAACCCAGAGCTTTTCAAATGGATTCCGGAATTCTTCAACATCGACCCCATATTTTTTCAAAATCGATTCTGCTATTTTTCAAAAAGTAGCTAGGCCGGACATGTTCAACAACGTTCCTGGAGTTTTTCAAATTTACCCCCGGAGAATTTTCCAGAGTCGCGGGTGAGTTGCCACGCCAGGTCTTCGGAAATCCGCCGAGGCGCGCGGTGCGCGGCGGCGGGCGATGGGACGGTTCGCCGCCATCCCCCCCGCGCTCGGCAACGAGAAGGGGGATCAACAAGTGCCAAATATCGGGGGTGGACAGAACCCCCAACAGTGACACGTCGATTAGTGAATTGTCCGTTTTCGGTTCTCGAGAGGGCGCCGCGGCCGTTATTTTCCAGGCTTGCGCCTGCCAGGTTTGGGCCTCAGGTCGTTCTCACTGAACCACGTTTTATTAAAGGGGGTTCTGTCCATCCCCGAAAATAGCCCCCAACGGGCGACCACTCGATTGCGAATGGGTGACCGACCAGTGGCGCCAGCCAGAGTAGACAATACTCGCCGCAAAGTGTGCCCCGCGCGAAAGTTGTTACAAATCCCAGAATCCCCGGAACGTATCAATAGCATGTTGTGTCAATCGATTCTTCTCGTCTTTGCTCTTATGGACATTGCGCAGGCCTGACGAAGGCTCGCGGAGGAGGAGGAGGAGGAAGAGGAGGAGGAGGCGGCGGATGCGGAGGCGGAGGCGGAGGCGGAGGAGGAGGAGGAGGAGGAGGGGGAGGAGGAGGAGGAGGAGGTCCGTAGCCATTTGGCTCAATCCATTTTGGCTCAAGTCATCCATTTCTCGAGGTGGTCGAGGGCCCTTTTCCGCCCGCGGGTCCCGCTGGTGGCTGCCCAGCCAGGGACTCCGCTTCCATATTTCCATATTGATTGACTGAGCCCCTCGTGGCCCACGTTCTGGCTCAGAACGACCACCCTCAGTTTCTTCCAGATTCCCCCTTCCGCCGTCATGGGCAAGCCCGCTTGGCGCGGCGGCGGCAGCGGCAGAGGAGGGTCCAGATATTACGCCTACATGCGGGACATGCCGAGCTTCTATGTCGTGGAATCTTGCGTGGTGCTTGCAGTGCGGGGCCCGCTGGAATAACGCAGATTGGACTTCGCCGCCCAGCAGGCCCAGAGGAGGTTGGAAGGCGCGCGTCGAGCCCCGTGAAGGCCGAGGCTGCGGACGCAAGTCCAAGGGCAGAGGCCGTCGTCGTGGGGGCTCCGCAGCGCCCGCAGACCAGCACCAGCAGCCTGGTTTGTCTTCTCCTGCTCCTCAGCCTCCTCAGCCCGATACAGATGATGTTTCCATGGGTGGGGCCGAAGTCCAATGCGCCCATCGGCCAGCAGGTTCAGCTCCTCCAGAACGCCATTGACATGCTCACCAAGGACGGGGGCGACGCCCAGCCCGCTGCCCAGGCACTTCGGAACAAACTTGTGGCATTGCGTGCGGAGGGGGACGCTTCAAAGTCAGCCTCGCAGAAGCTCATGGTGGCCAGTGGAAGACTTCATCAGAAGTTGGATCGCCAAGTTGCTCAGCACACA